TACGGTTGAGGATATAACTCCTGCATTACCCGTTTAGGGTCCTTAAGGTAATGCAGGAGTTATATCATCAACAGTAGAATCCTACTAGGCTGTGCTGAGTATAGGGTTTTAAGTTAGATATCGGGCCATAGTTGCTGAGTTCATAAGCACAAAGAAAGTGCCCACTCTAAGCCAAGAACCCAAAGCTTGTCTTCTTAAGGTTTTTAGAGGTTTCAGGGTTTAGGGCTTTTGGGTTTCATCCGGCATCTTGGCTCAGCAGGGGTTCCTTTTTAGCATGGCAGCTCCCAGCGTATCTCGTCGGAGCCGCGGGCATCAGACACCCAACTAGACCCGACACCCTAAAAACCCGCAAGGGTCTTCCACCAAAACTGGTTCCAAACAGGATCGGTGGCTTTGCCAGTCCCTGTGGAACTCCCTCGAAACTCTTTCCGAGGCTCTCAGAAAAAGGATACATGGGGACCCGCTGAGGCCCCTGTGAAGACAAGGAAAAACTACTGCCAGGACCCTCCAAGTACCCTCAAATAGGGGTCAGGGCTTTAGGGTTTTAGGGTTCTAGGGTTTAGGGTCCTCAAATAAGGGTATATGGTCCCAAATTAAGGGTATTTAAGGTCTAATAGAGGGTAGATGGAGGGTCTAGGTGTTGATGATATGAATCCTGCAAAGGACCCTGAACTATGGGAACTATGGTATGTTCCTCATTTTTGGGGTTATGCAGGATTTCTATCGGTCCTACATGTAACATGGCTTAAAGGCAAATAAAAGGCTCCGTAGCAATGTTAGAGTGGCAAAGCGTTTTTCCGTCTGGCTTTCGGAACCATGCCAAGCAATTTTTGGGGATGATAACTCGGGTTGCAAGTGCTACTACACAGAAGCTTACTTGGCGCCTCATTGCTGAGTCCCCTTGTCCTGTAACTGCTCATGGGCATTTGAGAAAATACGACTCACCCCTAAACCCTGAACCAGTGCTAAACCCTAAACCCCTAAACTCCTAAACTCCTAAACCCTAAACCTGTGAACGAAACCGCGGGAACCCTATGCAGGAACCCCTCTGTCACAAAAGCCCGGACAGGGGTTTCGGGGCACGTTTTGTCATAGTCGCAGCTTTCCAAATGCCACGGGACAACGACCCGTAGACTCTCTTTTTGTTCATCAAGGAACATATTTAGGGTCTAGGCGTTTAGGGGTTTCGGGTACTTGGGGTTTAGGGGTTTAGGGGCTTAGCGGTTTAGGGTATTTGGGGTTTAGGGTTTAGGGGTTTAGGGTTACCTCAAACTCGAACAAGACTCTTCTAGATGTTGTTAGGCTTTTTCCTCTGCTCGCTGATGCTTTGTGAGTCTCTGGGAAGCTAGGAATCCTCGTCGCTGTGAGGCTGCTCCAGAAAACTCACGATCAGCTTCTTCTCCTCGGAGCACGCCTCATCATTCATGGTCGAGATGACCTGGCCACGCTTTAGGGTTAGGGCTTTTGGGGTTTATAGGGTTTAGGGCTTTTAGGGTTTATAGGGGTTAGGGTTTTTAAGGTTTAGGGTTTAGGGTGTATACCTATAGTCTCCATTGTAGTTCCTTTTTGGGGTTACCTTTTCCTTAATGTAGAATTGGTTAAACCAAAATAAGGAACTACAATGGAGACGATAGGCCGGATTTGGCGACAAAGAGGACTCAAGAACAGGGGTTGGCATGGATTGTGACACAGACGTTAAAGAAATCTTGTATGAAAGAGAGGCCCCAGTGGTATGTAACGCACGACAGACTAAGTAGGCCCAGACGGCGGAAGAAAAAGAAAAAACAAACTCTCCATCAGTCCTACCCCTTTAAAACCCCTACCTGTAAGCCTCTTTACCTACAGTTTAGCAGCCATGACCCCTTAAGTAGCAGGTAGAACCCATAAAACCGTAGGCAATTAGAGTCCCAGGTAAGACCTAGACATCCGACACCCCGAAGCCTAAGTCTAGTTCCCTGTGGAATCCTTCTCCCTTACTTGACCGATGCCCTACAGGAACCCTCTAGAAAATAGGAATAACTTAACAGTAACCCTAAACCCTAAACAATAAAACCTAAACCCTAAACCCTAAACCCTAAAACCTAAACCCTAAACCCTAAACCCTAAACCCCAAACCCTATAAACCCTAAACCCTAAACCCTAAACCCTGGCGAACTCTTCGCCGGCCCCCAGGATGACCCATCTCATTCTCGGGACTGACGAAAGGATTCCCAAACCCAGCTCTCTGAAAAAAGGAGTTGGGATTAGGGTTTAGGGTTTAGGGTTTAGGTTTAGGGTTTAGGGTTTCAGCTCTTCTGGCGGCCTATAACTGGGCTCTTGCTAGGAGATTTAAGCTAATTTAAAGTTACCATAACAGGGATCTATAATAAATAACATTATAACGGGGCTCTTGCTATGTAGGGGGTTTAAGTTAATTTAGAGCTACCATAATGGGGATCTATAGTAAAACATACTATGCTTTCCTTATGCTGCTAGCTTTAAACTGAATGCCCTTAACAAGAACCCACATAATCATAAGACAACGACCCTAACCCTAAACCCTAAACCCTAAACCCTAAACGACCTTGGGCTTCACCTTTGGAGTTTCGAGTTTCGGGGAGACCCTGCAGCATTGCAGTAGATGGGTGGTTTTTCTAAAATCGGGTTACGGCACCCTCAGAAAAAAAGGACCCTAAACGGGACCCTACCTTAGAGAACTACCCATAAAGGACAGCCGTAAAGCTTTTTGGGTGGAAGACTACGACTTTAGAATGGTATTTAAGACGGATTTGGGAGGATCACCTGCACCCGCCCCGAACATACCAACAACGGCATATCCCCGCCCCGAACATACCAACAACGGCATATCCCGTGCATCAAACAGGAAAGGGTACTGCGGGGGTGATTATTACACCGCCGTCAGACCACGAACTTGGTAATTTTTGCTCCATCCCCTGTTCCGAAACCCTAAACCCTCACAGCCGAGGCACTCTGGGGTACATCACCACCTCGTCCGTGTCCTGATCTACCACCGCAATATTGCAGTCGTGCCTTGGTAGTTGATGACTTGCCGGTTTCGGATTTCTGGTTTTGGGGGTTTATAGGGTTCAGGAGTTGGGGTTTTAGGGTTGAGGGCTTTAGGGTTTTAGGGTTTAGGGTTTAGGGCTTTAGTGTTTAGGGTTTTTGGGTTTAGGCTTTAGGGGGAAAGGATCACGGGCACACTCACGGTCACCTGGCTTGAAGCACTTTACCGCGAACTTTTACGCCGGATCGAACACCTGTATTCCCACACCTGGCTATACATGAACTCTCACGCTCCCTAAACCCTAAACCCTAAACCATTGCGAAACATTCAAGGCCGGGATGAGCCATACGACATCCAGAACAGCACAATCGGGTGGGGGCTCAGGGTTTCCATACCCTAAAACCCTAAACCCGAAACCCTGAAACCCTAAAAGCCCAAAACCCTAAAACCCTTAAACCCTAGACGCTACACCCTAAACCCTACCCTAAACTCAAAATCCTAAACCCTAAAAGCCCTAATAAAGCAAGCATCCACTTCGAATGGCCAGGCATCAGGCCTGTCAGCAGAGTTTACGGCTTGGGGGGGGTCGAATCGTTCGAACCCTTCGAGACTTTCAGGAGAAAATCTCGATGAAGCCCTTTGGGGGTTGAGGGTGTAGGGGTTTAGGGGTTTAGGGCTTAGGGTTTAAGGTTTGAGGGTTTAGGGGTTTAGGGTTTTGGGTTTGAGGGTTTTGGGATTGAGGGTTTAGGGGTTTAGGGGTTTAAGGGGTTAGGGGGGTAGGGCGGTTAGGGTTTAGGGGTTTAGGGTTTTGGGTTTAAGGTTTAGCCCTAACCAGCTAGGGCTCTCACAAACTCCGTGTAACATCCGTGCAATACCACACGGGGTGTCAGAGTGTAGGCCAAGCAAACGGGCCAGGGTGCCACGGTTTAGGGTTTAGGGTTTAGGGGTGTTTGTTGATGCCCTCCCTAAACCCTAAACCCTAAAGGGTTAAGGGTTTAGGGTTTAGGGTTTGGGATGGCTCTTAAGGCCTATAAACCCTTGACTTAAACACTCGTTTTTTTCCTCAAGCGACTCAGGGGCCGAGTACCTTAGCCCAAAAATTGTGTTCTTCTGCACTACCCCAAACCCTAAACCCTAAACCCTAAACCCTAAGCCCTAAACCCCAAACCCTACTTTGAGCGCATAAAGATGGCCTCTGAAAAAAGCCAAGCTCTGCATGCGTTTTTGTCTCAGCACGGGGGATTCGCTCTAAAAGCTATCCAGAAGAAGGCCCCCCAACAATCTGCTTCATAAGCTTGAAACCCCTAAAAGGTCCATGTACCCAAATAGCATCTACCCTGGCCCCAAAGTACCTATATAGGGACTACCTTAAGGCCAAAGTATATACTATTTCGGCAAATATAGACCCTTAGATCCTAAACCCTCACTTAAGCCCCTAATAAGAGCCTTTATGGTACCCTTAAGGAACCCCCTTTAAGGAACCCTATTTGGGCAAATATGGGTTCTTAGGGAACTGGAATCCCCAAGCAGCAACTTCAGAACCTAAAACCCTAAACCCCAAACCCTAGAACCCTAACCCCTAAAACCCTTAAAAAAACCCTAAAACCCT